TATACTGTTCTTGAGTGGTAGCTCCTCCGAAATTTTCATCATCTCAAAATTTCTTAAAATTCAGAGAAAATGGCAGAAATACTTGAGCAACAAATTAAATTATGCCTGTTATTCTTACACATTTTTAAAGCGTATACTTGGACTTACTGAGTGTATATAAGCAAAAAACATCAATTTTACAGGTGTGCGAATTTACGAGACTACAGCATTGAAAAGGGTGAACGATTATTGCTTTATTTGCAAATCTTCAAACTGACAAAACCCTCTGGAAAAATTCATGACAAGTTTGTCTTTCTTAAAAAGCAATGTTTCTATAAATCTTACCAAACTGTGATGAATGAGACTGGAAATCACTTCACTGGCTTGAGTAATGGGACTTATATTTCATGAAACCATGCCAAGAAACCTGGAGGCTTTTATTGAAATTGAATCTTCTGTAATATTTAATACCCCGTGTGCCCTGTACCCCTCAAAAGACAACTTTTGATACTGACTCGAAATATTTTACCACAATTTTTTCTGAAAGGAAAATAAATAGAAATCAAGGATATTAAATCTGATGATTTTTAAAAGGTTCATTAGTTAGCAACAGAGAAAAAGTTAGAAGCAGTAAAAATAAATATAACTATTTTTGCTACATCAATGTGGCTATGAGTTCAGGTTTTATCAATAATTATGATTTGTACATCCAGTTCTAATGAATGAATGATGTTGACTGCTTCCTTCTGGATGACTTTTCTTGCAGTCTTGCTTTAACAAGACAGAAACTCTTTTGAATGTTCCATTCTCCTTCCCAATTATATCCAAATATTGTCATAGGGAAACGTAGAATCTAGTAGCTAACTGCACTAAAAACCCAATAGCGGGAACTCTGGAGGGAGAAGGGCATGTTATATGAAATCTACTTTTGCACTTAATGGTAAAATGAGTGGTGTGTGCACACTGCTTAGAGACAGCGCTACGTACCTGCAGTTAGGAACCTGGCTGTTGTTCTAGGGGATGAGTTTTGTAAGTGCTGTTTAGTTTTGCCAATCTTTTGTTTCAGGTAGTGTCAGAACCTAAAAGACATTGGGCCAGGCATAAAACAAACCAGGCTAGGAACCAACATACACCTGCATCCCCATATGTTTATAATCCCCTGTATCTTTTCAGACACTAGTCAGAGATTTGTACGTGTTTATTTGCATCCAGCTTGTTTTCACAAAGGATTTAATAAGGGTTAGAGATGCATTCAATATCACAGGATACGATAAATAAAAATTGGAAGGAAACTGAGTCAGGAAAGTAAGGGTAGGCAAGTAGGCAAAATCCATGCCATGGGGTCTTAAACCTGGGGTCCCAAACTTCAGGGGGCCAGGCAAGTGATGTCAAGCCCTAATCTTTAAGCCTACGTGAGACACAAAGGCTGTGAGTCTGGAGCAATGGTGTGAGAAGGGGTCGGAGAGGTTCTTTAAATAGCTCACAGCTCAGGAGGACATGCGCAGTGTGCCTTTGCTATTATGTTTGTGAATATTCTATTCCGTAATGGAAAACAAGAAAATAAATGGGATGGATGAAACTCACAAGATGTGTTAAGCGTAGATAAGGAAGTTAGTAACCCATTAGACCAAGACAGCAAATATTCATGACGCACTTTACATACAGGAGGCTCTTGAGGCACTCAGTATTCATGAGATCTAGTTCACTCGTTGGTGGTGCCCATTCTGGCCCCGAGAAACACAAGGAAAACCCATAGCAGCTCATCAGACTAACGGGCAATCTGTAAGCACTGGCCAGGCATACTTGCCCCTCTGCATTTGCTCAGGTTAATATGCTTCTGTTCCCTAACATTCTGCCGTTAGCTCTTTTCTTTTCAGTCCTGCATCCTATTCCTGTGTGACTCCATCTACTTTCATGCTTGAAGCTCCTCTGGTGTACACCAGAATTACACTCGGCTATCCTATAGGTACCCAGCTCCACCTGGTCATCATCTAGATGCCCATGGGCACCGCACACTTCATATCTCCATGACTGACCTCATCTTGTCTTCCCCTGAACAGCTTAGGCATCTGTATTTCAGCCTACATGGCAGCAATATTCACCTAGCCACTCAACCAAAGAATTGGATTACCGCCTTGACTCTGTCCTTTTCCCCTAGTACCAGGTCTTCTGATTTCTATCTCCTTAAAGTTTCTCATTGTTTTTCTCTACCCACCATCTCCAAGGATGTGCCAGATTAGCACTAATCACCTTGTGTATCAAAGAGTCTTCAGAGTGAAGACCCAAGTGCTGAGCATAATGGACAAGGTTGTCAAGATCTGCCTTGGTTTACCTCTCCACTCTGGAAAACTACTGCCAGCCGTATCAGTAAACAAAGGATGCTGTGGCCATCAAGCCATCAGCTGCTACCACCACCCCTGACAGTGAGTGGAGGGAACTCAGGATGCAGACAAACAGGCAGCCCCGCCTCTGCAGCCACCCCCAACAGTGCCCCCTGAGGGGACTTGGGATGGGAAAGAACAGGACACTGGCCCTAGATAGCTAGGTGCACATCAAAGGGATGATTTCAATGAGCCTGAATCTTTGCACCTTCCCATACATAGAAAAGTGCTAAATTTCTTAACTTGAGACATCTGATTTTCTTTAATTAACTGTAATCTTTTCGATGTTCCCACTACATGGTCTTTGTTGCAAAAACTCATATATGCTGGCTTCTACCTTGCCACTTTGGAGCAGTCCCTCAGAGCAATCTGAGAGGCTTACGTCCTCAGAAGTGTCCGCTGAATAAAACATAACTCTCAACTTTGAGGCTGTGCATTTATTTCAGTCAACACAAGTTTTGAACTCCGTGCAAAGATCCTTCCCCTTTCTACTCTTATCTCTTGACATGTCACTGCCTGAGCTCTGATGACTTAGGTTCCTGAATGAGCCATTATCTTTCTCACATCCTCACTGTTTTCTTCTCTCTAGATGTCCTCCTTTTCCACCCCAACCACCCCAAAA